GGAGCAGTGTGGCTGACTGTGTAGACACCCTGTCTGTGAGCAGCCTGGCTGACCATGTAGATGCCCGACTGTGAGCAGTCCTACTGACTGTGTAGACACCCCATCTGTGAGCCATCTGACTGACTGTGTCGATGCCGAGTCTGTGAGCAATCTGGCTGGTTGCATAGACGCCCCAGCCTGGAGCAGTCCTGCTGACTGTGTAGACATCCCATCTGTGAGCAGTCTGACTGACTGTGTAGATGCCCAGTCTGTGAGCAGTCCAGATGACCATGCAGATGCCCCATCTCTGAGCACTCCTGCTGACCATGTAGATGGCCCATCTGTGAGCAACCTGGCTGACCATGTAGATGGCCCATCTGCGAGCAGTCTGGCTGATTGTGTAGACACCCCGTCTGTGAGCAGTCCAGCTGACCATGTAGACACCCTGGCTGCAGGGTGACCGGCTGACTGTGTCTTAAGCAGCTGTGACCAACTTTCCTGCAGGAACCATGAGAAGGTCCTGGATGTGTTCGTGCCGCGGGGCCAGAGCAGGGGTGCATCCTGCAGGGACTGCCCCCCGGCCCTCCCATGCACTATTTTGGCAACACTGTGGTTTGCTGGTTTCCATGTGAGTCAACATCCCTGTACTTCACTCTTTTTGGTTACGGATGAGGTGGAATCTTCCTCCAGGTCTCTAACTCTGTGCCGTGAAGAATCCACTGAGGTCTCTGTATCTATGCAGATGGTCATGTTTTTCTTAAAATTTGAAAGAACAAGTAATGGGCATAGATTTTGGATAAATTCAGGCAACTGAGGGATTTAAGAGTCAAGGCGGGTTTACAACCCAGCCCCTTTCTCTTTAAAGGCCCACTTAGGGTTTTTGCTCTGTCTCCTCTTCCCTGGGGTAGAGCTAACTTGGGGTAGGGGTGAAGTCAGCCTCTGTGAGGAGATACCTTCTATTCCTCCCTCCACCTGCTGGGCCTTTGCTGCTCTGCTCCTGTGGGCTTCTTCCGTCTGTTCCTGGCACAAGGGATCAGTAGGGAGCCTGATGCTGACCTGGCTGGTCTGACTGGTGGCCACTTGATCCTCTAGTGCTAGAGGTTCACTGAGACTGCAGGCTCATCCTCTTCCACTGTCCTGAGGATTTGTCAACAAGGCATCTTTTTGCTCCCTGTCTCCTCAATCAGGCCTTGAGATCTTGAGTAGAGTGAATGATGTCTGAACTGACCCCTGCACCCCTCTTGGGGTCTACAGGGATTTGCTGGTGCTGCAGAGCATCAGCCCCTGTGCCCAGACCAGCATGCATGCAGGACCACACAGGTCCTCTGTGTGGACACCTCTCTCCAAGGGAGTCAGCACGGTGCTAGGTACTGGACCCTCCAGTGCCCACCAGTTAGGATCGTGCTGCTCCCCAGCTCTTTAACCTGCATGGGCAGGGGGCCAGGCGTGGGCTGGAGCTCTAAGCCTTGTGCAACCGCTCTCACCTCCCGGGCCCAGGCTTGGAGGGCTCTTCACTGTGGGGAGGGTGGGCCGCGGGGCCGGGAAGGGACGTGGAGCGTGCAGGTCCACATTCAGACATCTCTCAGGTGCTTTGAACTTGGAATTTGAGAATATGTCTTTATTGTTTGCTTCCACCAGGCAGAGCTCCAGTCTGGAGTGGTCTCTGAGGAGGAGGAGAAAACAAACACCAGTCTCTAGGTCATGACACAAACATTTTATTGATTATAGCAATTGGCCTTTGTCATGCGGAACACAAGGAACCGATCCTACAGAAGAGGGTTCCCGGGGTGCCGCAGTCCACCTCCGTTGAAGGACTTGTGGGCCATCTGTTGGCAGAAAGGGGTGGCGGCATGTTCGAATCCCTGGTAGGCAGCGTCTGTGTGCCCACCAAGGGGCCGAGGGGTGGTCCTGGTGCCCACAGAGGGGCGTCTGGGCTCCTGAGAGAGGACATTTGTGCCCAGGAACAAAGGTGGCAGCACCAGATGCAGAGGTTCAAGCTGGTCAGCAGCAGGACTTCTGGGCCGAGGCGGGCACGCAGCAGGCCTGGCGGGAGCCCACGGGCCAGCAGAGCAGGGACACGCAGGAGGAAGGCCTGCAGCAGGACGAGGAGCAGGGGCTGGGCCGCCTGCAGGAGGGGGCTGAGCAGGGGGAGGTCTTGCAGCAGACAGGGGTGCAGCAGACAGGGATGAAGCAGAGGGGCTTGCAGCAGACAGAGGTGCAGCAGACAGATGCGCCACAGGTTTCCTGGCAGGGGAAGGAGCTGCAGCAGGAGGGCTGGCAGCTGGACTGTTGGCAGCATGAGGAGGCCGAGCAGGGGGAGGTCTCACAGCAGACAGGGGTGCAGCCGACGAATGCGCCGCAGGCTTCCTGGCAGGGGGAGGAGCTGCAGCAGGAGGGCTGGCAGGAGCTGGTGCAGGCTGATTGGCAGGGGCTGGACCCACAGCTCACGGGGGTGCCGATAAGGGTCAGGCAGGAGGCTGGGGTGCAACCGCTGGGGGTGCAGCCGCTGGACTGGCAACAGCTGGGGGCGCAGCGGGGGGCTCGGAGCAGCTCTCTGGGCAGTCGTCCACCTGCCAGGAGGAGTCGGGGCAGGAGTCCCAGGAGCCGGGCAGGCAGACGCGGCTGCCGTAGCTCAGGTTGCTGGAGCAGACAGACAGGGTGGACGCGGCCATGGTGGGGGCGGTGGGGCTGGAGGAGGGTGTGCGTGTGAGTGTGTGAGGTGCTCAGGCTGTCTGTCGGCTTTTATACCCTCCAGCGCATTGTCCCAGGCGTCGGCTCACCATGCCTCCCTTCCTTGTTGGTCTGAGAGCTGGTTACAGGGAAGACCTCGCTAGCGCCGGCTTATTTTCTACAATTAGTTTTTACTCAGTAAACTGGTGAGTCTGTTGCAGGACTCTGTTTTCCTGTCGGTTCTTTGTTGGGCTCCAGAAAACTTGTGGAAAATATTTGAGGCAGGTTTTGCTGAGGGACTACCACGGTTTCTAAGGTCACATTCCTGCAGGGGCTGGTGTGAGATCGGGATCCCACACACCAGCCACAAGTGTGTGAACGCTCGGGAAAGACTCCCAGGGCCATTGCAGGCCCAACTGTAAAGCATCTACAAGGAATATCAGGAGGGTAAGACATGCACAAAATAGTGAACCTTGAACAAGAAACACGTGCAATGTGTGTGCACTGGGGACCCGAGACAGTTGTGGGCCAGAAAATTAGGGCAGTAGAATCCTCCCCTTGCCCCCCGATCCGTCATCATTGGTGTCATTTCAGTCAAAGCCCAAGGGAATCTTTTTGGCACATAAATTGAAGATACTGGAGGGCCAGAAACTATGGGTAGGATGCATGATGGATGAAAGGTTAATATGAAATGTAAAAGTCCTTACAACTAAGGCAGGAGAGGGTACAAAAGAATCAAATACAAAATTGAAAAAGCATCTGGGAAGCTACCTGAGCTCATTAATGAAGTTTCTCAAATTAAAACATAAATGTCCCACCTGTAAGATGAACCAAAATTTACCATGTTAATAATTTCCAGGGCTGCTGAGCATGGGGGCCTCACCCCTAGAAACCCCCAGCAGGCATGATTTTTACAAATGAACCCATAATATATAAAATTTATGATTTTATCCATTTTAAAGTGTACAAGTCAGTGGCATTTAGCAAAGTCACAATGTTGTGCGACCATGACCACCATCTAGTTCCAGAACATTCTCATCACTCCAGGAGGAAATCCCAAACTATTAAGGAGTCCCGCTACTGCCTCCGTCAGTCACTCATCTGCTTTCTCTCTCTATGGATTTGCCTCTTCCACACCTTTCACATGTAAGGAATCACACAATACATGGCCTCTTGTGTCTGACTTCGTTCACTGAGCACAAAGTTTTCCAGGCTCGCCCGTGTTGTAGCACGTGCCCGTGCATCACTCCTGTTCCTGGCTGAGTAATATTCCAGCAAATGGGTTCACCACATTTTATTTCTCTGTTCCTCAGTCAGTGGACATTTGGGTTGTTTCCACCTTTTGGCTGTTGGAAATAGTCTCTCTATGGACATTTTTGTACAAGTTTTTTTTGAACGCCTCTTTTCAGTTCTTCCGGGTGTATACCTAGCAGTGACATTGCTGGGTCAGGTGGTAACTCTATGTGTAATTTTGAGGAGCTCCAGACTGCTCTCCACAGCCGCTGCACCACTTCACATTTCCAACGGCAGGGTACGATGTTCCAGTTTCTCCACATGCTCCCCACCACTGCTTCTGTTCTCCCCTTTTTCAAAAAAAAAAAAAATTGCAGCCACCCTAATGGGTGTGAAGTGACATCTTTTTGTGGTTGTGATATTCCCTGATGCCCAATGGATTTTGGGCTTCCTTTCAAGTGCTTGTTGGCCGTCTGTGTATCTTCTTCTGGAGAAATGTCTATCCAAATGTTTCGCCCTTTTTTTAATAGGGTTGTTTGTCCTTTTGTTGTTGAGTTACCAAATTTACGTATTCTGGACACTAGACCCTTATCAGAGTTATGATTTGCAAATATCTTCCCCATTCTGTGGACTGTCTTTTCACTCTCTTGAAAGCATCCCTCGATACATAAAGCTTTTAAATTTTGGTGAACTCTGACTTACGTATTTTTTTCTTGCCTCTGCTTTTAGTGTCATATCTAAGAGACCGTTGCCACATCTAAGGTCATACAGATTTACCCCTATGTTTTCTTTTTAGAGAATTATAGCGTTAGCCCTTATGTTTAGGTCTTTGATCCACTGTGAGTTGATTTTTGTATATGGTGTGAGGTAGGGTTCAACGGTTGGTCTTTCCCTTCTCTGATTTTTGGCAGCTCTTAAGTATTAGGGATACAGCACATTTTCTGTAGTACTAGTTGTGAATATTATTTCCTAACTTGTTTTTTGTCTTATACTTTCCTTACAACATTATCATTTCATATCTATCTATCTATCTATCTATCTATCTATCTATCTATCTATTATCTATCCATCTTAATGTAGAACAAAGGGAACACAAAATAATTGAAAAATTCTATAGTTCACTGATGCTTTTGTCTCTCCCACTTTAATTTCAGTTTCTTTACCATATAACCAAACCCTTTACCCAGTAGCTGGCTGTTGTGAAAGGAATGTGTGAAAATTAATAAAGAGAAATCTCACTAAAATGGAGTAGGGGGGCTGGCAGGGGGCCTGATAGCCCTACCACTCATCTTCAATTGCAAAGCCAACAAGAAGAGCACCTTACTTGAAGCTACTACTTTACTACCTGGGCAGGAGGAAGGAAGTTTTCTTCCTCCCAGGGCAACAGCCCAGCCAATGAAGAAAGCCCCTACACGTCCAGCTCCCAGTTTACTGCAATGGACCTTCTGTTTACAACAGTGTTTCCCAAACCTCACCCACCCACAATTCCCTATAAAAGAGCCTCCTCTCTTCTATTCTAGCTTGTCCCAGATTGCAATTCTTTGTTATTCCCAAATACACCCATCTTTTGCTGGCAAAATAACTAGCAGTTTTATTTTTAAGGTTAACAAGTGGGGAAAAAAACAAGTAATTGTTCACTAAATGGATAAATTCAGGAAGTGCTTTATTCAGAGTAAGAGAACACGTTTCTCGTTCCTCACAGTGTCCCCCGTGGGGACCGGAATCACTTTCCATGTGTTTCTGATACTCCACTTGTGCAAGCATTGAACACCTACTGCATACAAGCATGGCTGTCGTGGCCAAGGCCACTGATGCCGCTCCCAGATGCTCTCTGACCCTGTCACCCACCACACCTACATGCCTTCTCTGACCTCTGTGAGGGTCTGCTTCTTACAGCAACCCCCCAGCCCCCTTCTCTCCTGGGAGGACTGCTGTTACCACACAGCTGAGTGAGTCCTCAGTGCCTAGGGATTTACAGCCACCGGCACTCCCCCAGCCCAGCTTCCTTACTCTGAGGTGTGGGGGACACTCCAGTGCTCCCCATGGTATCAGGCTGGGACTTGACTTAAATTCCCACCTTGTTCATCTTCTACTGGTTGCCTGGCCTGCCCGCCTCACTCCTGGACTTGCTCCTCTTGAAGGTTCTTCCTGAGTCCACCACTCATGCCTGTGTCCTTGTCACAGGCTCAGCTCCCGGGAGGCCCGCTTCACTCCTGGGGCCATGATGGGGATGAGATGTGACTGTGTGTGGGGAGCGCCGTGCCTGCTGGGTGCCGTGTACAGGGAAGGAGCTGCTCCCCCCCCCGTGGCGGCCTCTGCTGTCTGGCTAGCCTCCTCAGCACCCACTACCCTGCTGTGCCCACCCCACCCTGTTCTCCTCTCCATGACCAAGCTCGGAGCTTTCCCACGACTCCACTTCCCTGGCCTCGCCTTTCATCCCAAGCTTCCCCTTTCAGGGCTCATAACTTCATCTTCTTTTCAAACCTCCCCCCGTCTCCTTTAGCACTGGCTGGCACTTCTCCTTTCTGAATCCCGATGCCCTCTGCCGCATCATGCCGGAGTTCATAATTGGGGATTGTCTTGGTTTTAAAATTTATTTCATGCATATAAATCTGATCTCTCCAACATGATAGCCCACGTCAAGATAAGTAACTATTTCATTGACTCAAGGCCACATTCTAACATCTCTGTAGTTGTTATTTTTGCTGAGAGGTACATAAAGTCATGGGGCATTTTACTACTTTTTTTAAGATTTTATTTGTTTATTTGAGAGAAAGGGGGGAAAGGGGAAGCAGGAACACAGGGGAGGGGCCGATGTAGAGGGAGAAGCAGACTCCCCACTGAGCAGGGATCCCGATCCGGGACTGGATCCCAGGACCTGAGATCATGACCTGAGCCAAAGGCAGATGCTTAACACACTGAGCCACCCAGACATCCTGCATCTTTACTATTGGTTGAGATCTGAGTCTTGATAAAATGTGACCTGTCTAGGATGTGTGTGTCTTCTTCAGTACTTTGCCCCAAATGGGCCTACTCTGAGAATCACACACTTTGTGATGTGAATTACCTGAAATCCTCACACTAAACCAAGATGCCTACATTATTAGGATATCACCACATTTCTTTTGGGGTTTCAAATGCAAATAAAAGTCCTTTCCTTCAAGCCAAAAGCAGCCCCTTTTCTCAGTGAAACAAGCATTGAGCACCTACTGTATACAAGCCCCATGCCTTGAGCCGGAGATTCCAAGCAACAGCATGGCCCTGACTTCCACAGTGCGTACAGCCCAGTGGGGCCGACCTCTGTTGTGTAGAGAAGAGTAAGCCTCAGCCGGTCTCCTCCATCTCCTGCCCCCAAACTGGACTAGGAACAGTCAGGGTTGTCCACAGGAGTAATAGAAATAAGTCTTGATGGTAAGTAGGAGGGGCAGATGAGAATGCCCCCCACTGCTGGGTGGGAAGGCCAGAGCGGGGCTGCTAACATGGATATCCACAGCAACAGGACCTCTCAGTGGTGGCCAGGATTGGGTTTCCCTGGGCGACTGTCCCCGGGAAGCCCAGAGTGGCTCTTCCCGAAGGAGGCAGAGGAACATTTCACCGTGTGACCTATGTCCTGTGTCATTCACGGAACACAGCCGGATGGGTCTGGCCTGAGGCTGAGTGTTTGCAGAGCAAGGGCCATGGGGCAGAATCACTTCGCGATGTCTCGGCAGGTTTACCCAGCAAGCAGGGTCAAAGGCCTCATGTGACCGCCCTCAGGAGCCCCCAGCCA